TTAGTGTTGTTGTTGTTGTTGTTGTTGTTGTTGTTAGTGTTAGTGTTAGTGTTAGTGTTAGTGTTAGTGTTAGTGTTAGTGTTGTTGTTGTTGTTGTTAGTGTTAGTGTTAGTGTTAGTGTTGTTGTTGTTGTTGTTGTTGTTGTTGTTGTTGTTGTTAGTGTTAGTGTTAGTGTTAGTGTTAGTAGTGTTAGTGTTTTTTTTTTTCCCCGGCACAGGCGAGATCTATTTGGCTGCAGCCGCATCCTTGATCGCAAGCTGGTTCTACATCGTCATGTTCCACCTCCACCGGACCCAAGAAGAGGCCCATTGGAGTAGTTCCATTGAGTTGGAGTGGTTTAGCTTGTAGCTTGACCTGTCCAGTGATTGAGCTCATATTTGCATGGATGTGATGTCTGGGCGAACCACGGAACTGGGCACCTTGGATATTGGCTGGGTGACCTACTCAGCTAGTGGCAGCCAGACTCTAAGGGGGTTCTATCCTTTTAGTTTCAAGAAAACTGAGGGGTTACTGTGTGGCAAAGGGAGAACTTGACCTCACCAACATAGTAACATAGCTTGAAAGGAATCTTGGCTGATGCAGACAATGGAAGCCATGGGCACAGAATAGCACAGACTCAGATACATGTAGAGTTTGGACAGGAAGTTCTCATCATCTATTGGCAGTTTGAGAATGGACAGCTGTTCAGGATTTTTAGGAGAATTTCATAGATCTTTCAGGATTCTCAGTGGTTCCCAAATCTTCGACGCAACTCATCCCGTTCCCCCACTGTGGGAGCCATGCTCGTGCACATTCAAAGTGTAGCGTGAAGACTTTGGTTTCCAGGGAACATCACCAGGAAACCCATATAGTTTTAGAGGTGAATACCATGGGTTTCCTGTACATGTTCCCTGAAACCAATTCATTCAGGTTCGGTGTTCCGTGCTTTTTTTCAGGCCGAGCAGCTGTCGGCTATCGGTCGACCGACAGACCATACCAAATGGGACTAGAAGAGTTGCATCATTTTCATGGGATCAATGTATTCAATATCCCATGCATCGGTGGCCTATGGACAGCGGCTCTATAGAGCTGGTGTCAACCTATAGGTGTTTTTTTTCGAGAATTTCCTCGTTTCGCTGGTGTTCCAGGGTGTTCTGCCAGAGGAACCTTTGTTTTTCAGAACATCCGGGTTTGTCGCATGATGATTCGATGACCATCCGCACTAGGTGAACATGCTTCATGGGTGTTTCTGCATTTGCTTCCTCCTGTTTCCCTTCTTGGTGTTCTTCCTCGCTGGCATCGCCGGGCCTCTTCGCCAGTTGGGAGGGGACCAGAGGTGTTGAGGGCGGTTATCTTACAAACCCATACACTCCATGCATGGAATCTATACATTGACCCCTGAAACCAACCGCCCCCAACTTGGCCCCCTGGCCCTGATCGGAGTGTCGGGGCACCAAAAGAGTGGCTTCCTCTCCAGGGTAGTGCGGATGGGCCGGGGCTGAAGTTATATAGCTGGGTTCGTTTGCGAAGAGCGTCTCTTGTAGACGCGGCTTGTTGTAAGTCATGCATCTGCAAACAGAGCTGTTTGAAATTGAAGTCTTTGGTCTTTAGTAAATAGCGGATTGCACAATTTCGGATTGCTCCAATTTTCGGGATCAGCGGATTCAATCCTAAATGTAGTTATAGATGATTCTAGCAAGGATCCGCTAGCTGTTTTGGCATGAAGAACTAGACCTCAGCAGCAACCACCCAAAACCCGGCTGTTGCACTAAGTAAGTAGCCGTGGCGACTGTTGGAGATCGACCTTTTTTTCTCAGCCGAGGAAGGTCACATTCTCGTGTGTCGTGGGATTGGTCTGTGGCTTCCTCATCCTGGAGAGCCTTTGCTTGCCGCTTGGCACCACATAGACTTTGGCAGACAAGACACTGTGAAGAAAACGCAGATGCGGTTGGGCGGTTGGAGCGACGGAATCAGTGCTGATTCATTTGCAAAGTCACTGGATTGGGGGATTCGGTGCACACACTCAACGGACAGAGTACAGCCTAGCAAGTTCACTTCACCGTCCTTTTTCAGGGAAATGGCTGATGCTTTAGATGGACCACCTAGCACTCTGCACTGGCCAAAGAGCTTAGGAGAAGAAAGGCTGCCTCGGTCTGTGAGAAAGGTTTAGTCAAAGAATTGCCGGATTTTGCTATGCAAAGCAGCACCATGCAGCACCTTTGTAACCTCCAGTATGGATGGACTTGTTATGCTTGTTTGTAGAGAGAGAGAGAGAGTCCGGTTTTTTAGTGCGGTAATGGAGCTTTGCTACTCATGCTACTCTTCAAGGAACTGCGAGGAATTATGTTAACAAGTCACATATCCCTGTACCAGGTAGGTCACCTATCCAGACCTTCCCCAAGTCAGGTTCGGTCCAATGAAGTCGCTGTCAGCCATGACTCACAGGGCTCCGCTCTACAAATCGCACTTGGACGCCGCGGTGTTAGACCTCCCGACCATGAATAGAATAGACTATACCCTGATCCTGGGAGGGAAAACCTACCACGGTGTCCATATGTGTCCATTGGGAGCAAAGCCCTGGAGTGGCTTTTAGACTCCAGGCAGATGTTGCTTCAAACTTGGTGCCTTTGGGGGGGTACTCTAGTGCTCCAGGTGCTCCATCATTTGCAACAAGGAGCCTTTGGGCCCCTCCGCTGCCTTCGACGTGCCCTTGGTCGGTTGTTGTGCTCCTCGGCCTTGAAAAACCGAGGCTGAGTTAGGCACCAAGCCAGTCTGGTGAAGAAGAAAGATCCAGGATATCAATGTACATCAGGGTACCTCTTAAGAACTATATTTGAACGACAAAATCAAGGTTTGAAGGACGGAAATGCATCCATCGGCTATGAACTCCATGGAGTTGAGTGGTTTGGCTCGACTTATGCAGGGGCTGTGGATGTTGTTCTTTGCACCCTGATCAGTCCCATATGCTCCATCAAGCATCCGACATGGTCACTGCAAGTTAAGCTTTTTTTCTCCATGAGCAGATACAACTTGAACCTTTCCGTTTGTTTGTTTAAACGTGTCCCGTGGGGATCCATAAGTTGTGTAGGGTCTTCCAACTGAACCACTGAACAGCGCCATGCTGGAACCAAAGAGCCATTGTGGGACATCACGAAGATTCGATGGTTGCACTTACAGAGGTTTCAGAGTAGATGGCACTGGCACCCGAAGATGTTTTAACAAGATGAAGGTCCACATAAACCACCAACATGGGGTATCTTGCACTTTACTTTCAATCTACATGATTTGGATGAGCCAAATGGCCTTGGGGGGTTTAGGACTTGGTGATCCAAGTGTGACAGAAGAGGGTGAAGAGACCCGTGTTGGAAGTTGGTGCCCCTTGATTCATCCAATTGTTTCAGCATCTAAGTTATGATTGAACAAGTCTTTCTTCTCTCAGCATGGGATGACCGCTGAGGCATGCTCACATTAGCCTTGCCATGGCGGAATTGTGTGTGCCACATAGCCATGCCGAGGGCTTAAAACATAAGTAAGACTGCTTGAAGCAACAAACTCTGGCCTCCAAGAGCAATCACCATCGAGAAACTAGCCAAGGGGGTTCGTGTGGTCCCCACCGCTGGCTCAGTGCTTGTTGAATCAGGAGGAGACTTGCCACAACTCAACCAGCCAAAGTGCGTAGGAGGACTCTGTAGGCAACCCCCAAGGTTTTTAGACAATTTTGATGTCGGTCGCTTTAAAAAGAGCTGATAGGGGGTCTTAAATTCTTGAAATATACTATCCATTCATCAAGCTTTGTTCCAGAGACCTGCTACAGACCTATGCACTCCACAGACAAGACTGGCACTATAATACCGACCGCACGCGAAGCTTGAGAAAACCCGCAGGCAGCGGCGTTACAGCCGCCCAAGACCTTGCGAGAGGTCGTTGCCTTCCGTGATCAGCATTGTGCTGCTGCCATGGGTGAATTCGGTCGACGCGTCTTAGCAGGTCGAAACCCGTCAAGCAAATCGGCCGACCCTCGAGTCATACCGAGTCTATTTGGATCGCTTGACTGCCTTTATTTTATAACCTTAGCCCAGTTGCAAAGGCCTTTTATTTTTTGGGGGGACACCCTAGCTTAAACATAAATCCAACAGGTGGAACAGGTGGACTTATGTTCAACCGTTTGTTCTTTTCCGCGACAGGGGGATTCAGATCTCTGAGCATCAGGGACCTAAATCGAAATCGGATTCCGGGTGTCCATTGATAGCCCCGAAAAGCCTAAAAGAGGTCTTAAGGATTCTTAAGGGGTGTCCATGAACCACCCCCAAATGACCAGGGGCACGGTTCGGGAGGGGTCTTTGGGGATCAGTCGAGGCGAAAGGCGAACGAACTGAAAGATCTGAACAATCCCGTTTGGGCTCCGAACGGCCCATCTCCTCAGGTGACCGGTGGTATTCGACCCCCCCAAATCCACCCACCCCTGTCCCGTCTTCGAAACGGAGGTGGGCCAGGAGTCCCTAGGAAATAAAGAGAATGATGCAATGAGCATGCAGATTCATGCAACAAAAATCACCCCCCGAAATCCATGGACTGAAGCACCTTTTCTAACCGGAAAAGAGTTCTATGATGCGGTGAACTTCCAACGAACCTGGCACTCGAGTTGACGTGGATGAACGTGGGGACGGGCCTTCGAGATGATGCGTCAACCTCTTTGTGTTCGGGCCTGCGAGACGATCTCGCCAGGCTATGGCTGTTTGCTTCGCGTGGTGTCACTGTGCAGCAGGGGGCGATGCGGCGCGAAGATGTTCAGGACTGTTCCACCGACAAAACGAGCTGATCGGCATGAGGTGTAGTGTAGATGTTCCCTTGAATGGGTGAAGAACCCTTGTGAATCCATTGGGAAGATGTACAGTTCCCGGTTCCAGCAGATCAAAGCACGTCTTCTCCTTCTCCAGCCTTTGGGCGCCACCAGAGCCTTTGGAGCGTTGACAGAGGCGGTGAGGACGATCCAATCGTGTCGACGTCGATAAGCACATGACCCTAAGAGGCCGTGCACCAAGCCGGTGCAGACCGGGCTGGTTGTTCTGGGTGTTCTGGGTGCCTCACTTCTTTCAAAAGTAACTTGACGCTTGGACACGAGGAATGGATCTCAGAGGCCCCCTTTCGAGAGATTGGGTTGATCCACTGTAACAGTTAGCGATTTGGGTCGCACGATGTGGTGTAAAGGCCAAGAAACCCTCATCATCAGTGTGAGAGTGAGCATTTTGAATAGACATAGACTAGACCATATACCAGGACTATCCGATGGGCCTGGCAGGCATCTCCAGACAGAACACTCGTTTTTCTTTATGTGGTCTATAGGTGTGTAATGTGGTCTCCCAGACCTCATCACTTCGATTCGATCGTCTCATTACAAGCCTTCTCTTCGCAGCCGAGGCAAGACATTCCTGGCATCCTGCTGAGTAGCATCGATCTAGTCAGCTTTGGGTCACTAGGCGTCACTGAGGGTCCTAGCATCCTTCGCGCACGACGTCGTGAACATGGTTTCCCTTTGCGGTCGTGGATGGGTGTCTTATTTTTTCTTTGACGGTTGAGGCATTGCTCTCGATCAGGAGAGTGTAGTTTGATAGTTTGATTCGGATTTTTGTTGAGGCATTGCTCTCGATCAGGAGAGTGTAGTTTGATGGGCGGATCTGAGTTCTTGTTTTCATGTTCTATCAGGACTCCGACTATCCTTTGCCTTCGGCTCGTTTCGCAGTCAGATTCTGGAACTCATATTTTTCTAGGTTTTTTTTTCGTTTTTTTTGGGGAATTTTTTTTTCACGTTTAGGCATTAGGTATCTCTGTTGGCTTCTGGT